TTAGGACCAAAATAAAAGTCAAACAAGGTCTTATATTAAGGATCAGAGGTAGTATTATGATGATCAAAGTCTCATAATGAAGATGTTTGATTATGACTTGCTTTTAGCGCCTGAATTACTTTGCTTAAAACCCTAATGATTCAGACACAGCCTCCAGATAGATAGATATATGTGTCTCTGATTTAATGATCCATCAAGTTGTAATTATATGGCTGCCTTGGCGGCAGATCCTTTAGCAGTAAATTCCCCTACATGTGTGTGTGAACATGTTGTGAGTTTAGCATCTTGCTTATTGTCAACATCAACACTAAATCCCTCTTATATATCTTGCTTTGGATCTCTTAATCAAAGTCTTTCCCCCTCAATTAATTATTATATTATCCTGTTAATTATTAGCTATATATGCCTCACCACCTCTTCTTCCCAAACATAATGACCTTACTTCGCTTTTTCTAGACTGTGCCACGCACTCGTATTACTTGCAGGTAAATAATGCAATGCAGTGGAAGATACTCGTTCTCACAGAAATTTTGAGTCTTTCTTGTTTACGTCAGTTTAACATATAGTGAGGAATTATTAGTTTCGTTCGGTAGGCTCAATTCCTATTGTTAATCTGCCATGTATATACTTTCTCATACATTAGTCTAAAAAAATAAAATAATATTATTTATTATTTGTAAATAACTTGACTTGATATAAATTCTATATTTTACATTAATTTCAAGTTTGTTATGATTACATACAGAATGAACTATTCTAACTTATGACTTGCAAATAATGGCGCTTTATATTAAGTTTGACTCTTTTTAATATTTACTATCAATATTATTTAAAATATTAAATTAATCATAATTAGCCAATATATTATATTAAATTTAGAAAATAGCAAATATATATTTTTTTTTGGGAGGGACGGTGGAATAGACTGGGAACCAACATAAGTAGGTCGTACGTTGAACTATAAGCTGTACCACTGTACGACCTGAGTGGCTAATTGAGTATTGAATTATACTACCTCGGCTCTTTAATACAGTAATAACTTGTCTTTTCTAAAACATTCTTATTAATGATATATATTAGTTAGAATTATTATTTGAAAAAAATATTTAATATATAATTATTATAAGCACTACTTTGATTGGGTTTTTAGATTTAGGATTAAAATAAAAGTCAAACGAGTTTTTATATTAAAAACAGAAGATAATACTATTTAGAATGAATTAAATGTGAAAGTAGTTTTTATATTAAAAATAATAGGAGGTAGTAACTCGAACAGTGATCTTCAATTCACCGCCTGATAAGGCAATAGAGATGAGTAGGACCATATATGCATGCGTGGGACTCCATTTTGACTCCCTTCCTTTGTCGTTTAGCCTACTAAGTACTAAGTACTAACCATTGCTTTTGCATCACAATCCTCAAGTATAGACACCGACTTCTTCTCAAAGTGTATACTCTCACACGCAAACCCACCAACTTGGTACTACTTTTGAATTCAAATAATCACAACACATTTGGTTCAATTCATAGCTGGGGATTGTACTATCTTAACTACACATTCATCTCAAGTCCAAGTCTCATAAATGTTATGATCTAACCTTGTCACCTTATCGCATCTTCGACTAGTTTTCCAACCCTAAGGCTCCATTTGTCCATGGCTTTATTGTTTTAGTGGCATGAAAACTCCCGAATTAGTGAATGCAAAATTATAAGTTCAATCCTAGTTGTAATTTCAAGTCATAAGCGTTTGCTTTTTTACAATACTAAAAAAAAAAATCTAAGGGCATGTTTAGTTTGAGGGAAATGGATCTTGTTTCTCTAATTTTTTTACAAAATTGAACTTAATAAAAAATTTTCCTTCCTTTCTTCCGTCCCCTCACACCAAACAAACTATAAAGCTCCCTCTAACTTTTCCAATGTTTTTAGCGTGCCATTTTGGAGCACGCAGCTTTATTAAATTCTGATCAAGGACTCTCCACTTACCTTTTAAATGCCTCTATTAACTCCTCCTTACGTACACCCCCCTCATTTTTATTTTGTTTCCCCCCAACCACGTACACACTCTCATAATTAATACATTTATTTCATTCTTTCTTATCCTAATCAATACTAGGAGTACATAATAAACAAAATTCACACTAAATCATTAATTAATAATTTGACTTCTTTTAGACCCTCTGCACCCAGAGGTTTTGTTGTTAAGAATGCAGATCAATGGAATACACACACACACACACATGTATATATATATAAACAGAACTTGACCTGAACAATATGGGACAAGCATGATGATCCAAAAGGGTTAAGACCATGCATGTATAAACAATCTGCATGTAAAGTTAAATGATCAAAAAAGAAGCATCAAGTTATGGGAGGACTGAGCCTACAGCAAAAAGATGACCCTTAGCAATATTATTGTACTCAGACAGGCCCTACCCTATAATAAGCTACGTTTGTGTACATACGTCTCTCTCCAATAATTCAAATTATAATGGGACACCCAATTTTAGACTTTTGGATCCACTCTCTTCACCTGGACCTGCCTGCAGAAGATCGATCAGACCCCAACACCAAGATCATATTTGCCAGCCATTCAAGTCCATTTATATATATATATATATATATATATATATATATATATAGACAAACATTATCCAGCCCATAACACAACTTTCTTCTCTTCAAAATCTGCCAGCGCTTTAATTTATATGCACACACACATACATATTTGTGGACCTGTCTATAATATTTTTCATCAACACACGGGCGTCATCTCTATATAGTAATATATATATAAAAGAAGTGGTTTTCGATCGTTTTTGAGTGTTTGACCAGCTGATAATGTTATGACATGTAAATGACAGCAAAGGGAAAGCTCACCAAAAAAAAAGAAAGGAGAGAGAAGAAGGAAAGCACTGTAACTTCACGTAATAATTGATTAGTTGTGGACAATTTGGAAAAGATTAGGGCCACAAAATTGGTACTTTCACTCATTAATTAATTAATGTGCAAGAATCGTCACATGAAATCTTCAACGAAGAAATTAAACCAAATACATCATAAAAATCAATTGGAAAGAACAAATAAAATGCAAACCAAAAGGAAAAGAGGGGATCGGATCCATCTGGTGGAAGTTGGCTGTACTATCACATCACCGTCTTTCTATGTTAAGAATCAATCAAAAATCAAAAAATCGAAAGCAAAAGAAAAAAAAGGAGGGGATTTTTTTTTTTTTTTTTTTACAGTTCACATATGGTGGAAAGCATCAAAATTCGCGGGCGTTAGATCTTCTGACAGTGACGTTAACGGATAGTTGGCGGTGAAATCTATGGAGGTTTGATTCAGAAGCTGGCCATCTTCTTCCCACGACGACCCTGTCGTCGTCGTCGTCTTCATCAACTGATAATCTTCTTCGTTCTTTATACCATTCGCTTCATGAAACTGATACAACAATGGATCCATCGCTAAACTGTTACTTATCTGATGACACCCTCCTCCTTGAATATAGCTGCTCAAGCTATTGCTTGAACTGATTCTCGAACCCGAATTGTTTTCTGATGAGAACTCTGCCATGGAATTTGTGATCAGACCTGGCATTATTGAGGACATATTGAATGATCCGAACCCAGAAGAGGATTGGTTTAAACCAGCCATTTGGAACTCCAATAAGGCCAATGGGTCATAACCACTATTATTCTGATCAAACTGGTTGGAATCACTTCCTGCAAGTACTGATGATCCTTGTGATGATGATGAGAAGCCCAAGGATGTTGTTGGAGCTGAGACGACTGAGAATGGAATCTGTATAGATGGCAATAGTACTGTCTCTGAATCTGTGAGACCTTTGTTCTCCTCCTTGATTGACGATTGATGATGAGGTTCTGAAATAATTAGAGGCTTGTGTGTGGTTGGGTCAATCCCTTGCTTCAGCAGCTTCTTCTTCAGACTTGAATTCCAAAAGTTCTTTATCTCATTATCTGTTCTTCCTGGTAACTGTGCTGCAATCTGAGCCCACCTGCAAATTCAAATCAAAATTAACCTCCGACAAAACGGCAAATTCTTCAAGGACAGTCAATATTTTCATTTCTTCTCGGTCTTTTTCTTTTCCATAGTTACTACCTGTTGCCAAGAACTTCGTGAAGGCTGAGTATGAGATCTTCTTCTTGTTGAGAAAACATGCCTCTCTTCAAATCAGGCCTCAGATAATTAATCCATCTCAACCTACAACTCTTTCCGCATCTTTGCAACCCTGCAAGTTTATAGAACAAAAACCAGTTAGAATAAAAATAAAAATAAAATGATCTGATAAAAAAGACACAAGAACAGAAGACGTTTTTTTTTTTTTTTGCTCAGAAAAATACCAGCGAGTTTGGGAATAGAACTCCAGCAGCCAACGCCATATCTGGTAATGTAATTGAAGAGCTTCTCATCTTCTTCAGGGGACCACAGACCCTTTCTCAGTTTTTGCTTTACACAACAGGAATGGCGACCCATTATAATTGATTACTCGTGCGAAGAACAGACAGACTCTGATGAAGTGGGGTTTTATATATTTGTGTGTCTGTGCGTCTGTATATATATAGTGGCTCTCTCTCTATATGGCGTTAAGCTTTCCGTGGAAGGATAATGCTTGTGTCATTGAGACGTTTCAATGGGGTGGGAAAATGTACACACACGCACATATATATAAGATATGGAAGAGAGCTGATGGAGGAGGGAAGCTCGAGGGGTAATTGTTGTGTTGATTTAAAGAGAAGAGGGATGAAATTATACTTAAGATTCAAGTTATGAGAGAGAGAGAGAGAGAGAGAGAGAGAGAGGAGAGAGAAGGCTGTGAGGAAAGTGAAGCAATCAAGTGGATTTTACGCAAATCCGGTGATGCTTTTGCCAATTGGACTGGATTGGATTTTAAGATATCGCTATTTCTAGAAAATTATAATTCATTATTATTATATATAATGTGTATATATAATATTTTCCTGTGAGCTGTTCTTTCTTTTTTCTTGTGTACTGCACCTGGTATCTTCGGTGAGTTCTTATGTCATAGAAAACTCAATAAGCTCAAACTAATTCAGATTCAAAACATGACAAGAACTATTAAGATTGAAGTCTCTAACTCATAGGGTATTGTATTCTTATGCCTCAAGCTCAAGACTCGTGATTAAATTAAAACAATTGCTACCAGTTGATCCAGCCAACTCGTCAAGGTTCTGTGAGCTCTTCTTTACCATAATAGACAATATGGTAAGTCATATTTTACTTTCATTTATAGAATTTAAATCAATCAATATATTAACATAAATTTTTGATAATCCATATTATCCATAAATCATATAATTTATTTCATAACCTACATGCAACACACGGGGAATAAATAATTGGATCTTTTCCATTGATGAAAGCGCATAAAAAATTTCACTTTCATCTATAAATTAAAAAATGAATATTTGAATTAAAAGAAAAAAATTCGAGATATATATAAGTTATTCGTCAGAGCAAGTTCTAACTTCACGCGTAATAACAATTAATAGTACTATCTATGTACTAACTTATTTGTTTTTTCCTCCCTTCTCCTTCTTTTAGGTCTGACTGCTAACCTTAACATAAAAAAATGCTTTTAGAGTAATTCATACTAACCTGCCGTTAAAGTTTTCCACACGCAGCAAGTAAGTTTTAAAAATTAAGCTATTTTAATTCTAAATTATACAAATTTTATAAATTAATATAGAAAACACTTGATTTATACTAAATATTGTGGAGATTGTGCATTGTCAATGAGTGTTTAACAAAAGTTTGTGGAAGACAATGAATAGTTGAATTTATGTCGGAAAGAGTGGAAAGTGAGCTCTGGAGTCAGAATTGGATCATTATTGACTTTCTCTAGAAGAGGGAATCAATTGATATTTGTGCATTAGCTTGTCAATAATTAATTTTCGGGAGCTGAATTTAATTTTTTTTCTTCAAATCAGTGAATTATTTGAAAAATTAACATTTCGATACTACACAAAAGTTTAACTATTGTTAAAGATATAATTAAAACAATTAATAATCTCTTATGTCTGAAAAGCATGTCATTCGTGTGGATCAATATTTTAATATTGAGAGTGTAAAAACTAGACTAATTTAGAAAACTTATGAGCTGGTTTTTATCATAAAGATTATCCTTCCAATGATCGAAGTTTCCCCAAATAAAAAAAAAATCCTACGCCAAATTAATTATATTTTACAATCAGTACGGATGTTAATTATTGTTTCTTTTTATAAATAATACTACCTCCTGTCCTAATTATAAGATCCCATTAGTAGTCTACTAACGAGGTCTTATAATTAGGACATGAGGTAGTACTATATATGTTAAGCATAAACACGTTAGCTTAACATTAATCATGACCTCATAAGTTTGTTGTTCTTTTACTGTAGTGGAGACAATATGATTCCATCCTTATTATGTCTTTCTAAACCATGTGACACATGTGAACCTAAAACAACCCCAAAAATAAAGCGCCACAAAATAATTAATATGCCATATATTAATAATTACAAATTAAAAGGAATTACAAATTTTGTATACATTATTGTATTTCATTTAACAAAACACATGCATATATATATATATATATATATATATAGTTGTGAATAATGCAGTTTATTACAAATTTTATTTTATATATATGATCATTTATTATGTCTGATTATATTTGGCATGGGTATTTGATCATATTTGATTGAGTTTAATTTATAGAAAAGAATAATAAAAGAAATGGTATGGAGAATTATATAGGATATGCATGAATGGGAAGGAGAGGAAATAATGAAAAAGATAGGAAAGGGGAGTTTCTTGGAAGGTGCTATGAGCAGAGGCAGTGCAATGCATCTGAATTCATTTGTAAAAGACTAATTAAGAACGGTTGCCGCATTTGTCGGCCGATTTTATAATGGCATGCTCACCAACAATATTTTTTAAGAGATTACCCTTATTTTTTTAAAAAAATGATAATTAAGAGACTACTCTTATTTTAGATTCTATATATATTAAAATAATATTTTGAATAAATAAAAAAAATCAAATCTGAACCATCCAAATAAAATACGGATGATTTAGATCTAATGAGCTTATGGTACTCATCAAATTAAAGTGATGAACATTAAAACTGGTTCCAACAAACATATATTTTAATCCTAAAATTTAGGTGAGTTGAATTTTTTTTTTTTAATGGTAGATGCTAACGACCCATAACGTTATAAAAAAAAATTATATTATTTATATATTAGAAATAAAATTTGAATATATATCCTTGTGAAATATGAGTGGCAGCCTTATCAATTATATTGAACCCAACTTTATTGGACGGATTCTAAAGTTGTGTTCATGTTGCATTTTAACTTGAGTTAATTTAAGTGTTATGGCATAAAATCTATATATGGCAAACTAGATAGATGGAACATGGATCAATTATATATATATATAACCAACAATAAGTCTTACTGCCTCCGATCCTTAATATAAGAAATTGTTTAATTTTTATTTTGATTCTAAAAATGAGCCTACAATCCACTTTGTCTCTTATATTTATATATTTTTTTCCAAGGTAGTTCTTCTAACAATGGTAATTGTAGCCAATATACTTGATTAGCAATGATATTTTTAGAAATACAACACATATTTATTATAAACAACTAACTTAATTTTTTTCTTAATATCTTAAAATTAGTCAACTAGCTCTTACAATTAGGACTGAATGTAGTACTCCTCCGGTCCTTATTATAAGACCCCATTTGACTTTTATTTGGTCCTAATTATAAGACCCCCATCCATTTTGTCTCTTATATTTATGCATTTTTTTCCAAGATAATCCTTTAATAATGATAGTTTTAGCCAATATACTTAATTAGCAAGGATATTTTAGGAATTACAACACTTATTTATTATAAATAACCAACTTAACTTACTTCCTTAATCTCCTCAAATAAGTCAATTGGGTCTTATAATTAGGACCGGAGGAGTATTTTATTAGGCGAGGTCACTTAGATAGATCACTCAAAGTCAAAGTCATTGTATTCTATTAACAGCTATGAATTTTTAGATAAATTATCGATCAAAAGGTCCACAAGCTTAATAATTCTACACATGAATACTTTTTTATGTTTCTTTTTCTATTATTTTGTCATCGATCATGTTATGAAGCATACAAAATATATAGGGCCTGGAGGTATTTCATTATATAGCTAGAGACAAGGATTGAATATTCTTTTATTTCACATTAGAATTTTATTAAACATTAATATTGTATTTATGTCATATAAAAACAAAACAAATCGAATATCAACGCGTGTCTCATATAAATATGCCTAAAACTAAAACACGGTGTATTCTTCTTCAAGAGTAACTATTATTAAAGGCATCGTGGCAGCTCTTCTTGAAGCAATAATAGAATATCTGCATATGTAAAACGACAACACTAAACTACTTAGGCTTTTTTTCTAAATAAGAATTAATTTTGGCTTAAAATACAAGTTATGTAGATATTGTTTTACCGAAGAAAGATTCTTATTTAGTTACACGTGGGAACGACCAAGCCCTGTACGCAAGCAATATATGTTGAACATTTTTGTATACAACACTGGACTTGACGATACGCTGTTGTTGTCAAATGTCAAAAAAGAAAATCAATTATGTTTAATTAATTAATTATCACTATTTTACATGGGAAAATATGTACGGTGTTCGATACGCTATCCTTTTTTTTTTTTTTTGGAAATATATTCATGTCTCTTTCTGTTGAAAATGGAACCTAATTAATTAAAATATTTATTGAATTATATAAATATCTGCGGCCTAAGGACAGAATTGGAGAACGATACGTCGGAAATTTCTCATTTTCACAATACAATTGTCAAAGCGTTGAAGGTAATTTTCCGTAGCATCACAATCGATTGGTTGAATAATATAAGATGATCATTTAATTTTTTGTTTCTATAGAAGAGATCTTACCGAATAAATAATCAAACATATAAATTAAATAAAGAGTTAAGATGAACCCAGCATCTTGAAATTTTTTTTTAGTACATCCTACATCTTAAAATATTTTGTGATACATCCAACAGCTTAAAATAATCTTTTAAATGCGTTCAATATCTTGAAATATTTTTTAGGACATTCAATACCATAAAGTATTTTTTTTTACGTATTTGGTGCATCCAGCACCAAGACAAAAACAAAATATTTGACACACCTGAAAAATATTTCATAGTGTTAGATGCACACAAAATATTTTTATATACTAAATATATCTGAAAAATATTTTAAAGTGTTGGACGCTTCTTAATTCTTAAATAGGATGATTAATTTGCAATTGCAAGCATATGAAGACTTTGGGAGATGTGAATGAAAAAGAATCTTTTACCCGTATATGGTTTAGTCAAACATGAAATACAAAAGAGTACTTTTGAAAAAAATTAAAAACAAGAAAACATCACCTAACGGGATCGTAGATGGAAAGATTAAGACTTAATCAATTCAGAGTGGGGAACACAAGTAAAGTAATTAAGCAACGCCTTTAATTATATAATACTGCAAAGGATTCCTATGTGCGACGAATGGGGCTTTTGCGTTTTGACTTTTGCCTCAATGAATCGCGTGGTTCTCATACTTTATAAAGTCGTTTATTCGCGTG